GGGGCTGCAAGGACACTCAGTGTGCTGTGGCCCGGCAACCCGTTCTGCCACGGGAGTCTCCCTCCCCCACCCCTGAACCTCTGGAGCTCGCTCTTGGCACTCCACAGGGACCCTGGGCCTTTCTCTTCCACCTCTCTCAGAAGCCCCTGCTACTCGCCAGCGCCCCCGTTCGGACCCAGCCTCACCAGCCCTGGGGCCCGGGGGCCGCGCCGCTCACAGCGCCCTCAGGCATCTCGCTCCACTATTTCAGCTCCACGGCCGCGACGGCAGCAGCAGCTATGGTGGCACGAGCGGCTCAAAACGCGAACTACTGCCTGGGCCAAGTTACGGGCTGGGTAGGCGGAGCCGAGGCGATGGGGTGTGGTCTGTAACTTGGAGGTCATTCTGAGAGTGGACGAGTATGGTTTGTGGGGGCGGAGCCAATGAGAGAGCCCGGAAGCAGAGAACCTGGGACTCGAGAACCACGGATTCCGCACACGCAGTCGCGGGTATAGCTTCTTAGTAGAGAAGGTCAACACAACATGGCTTCATAATTGAAAGAACGAAGCCTTTTATGGTATCATGAGGCCCGGTCCCCCTGAGTACTGCATTCCCCAGAGCCCCAATAAGACAGTAACCACGCCCCAAGGGCGCCACAGTTGGTAGTTGATCCGCCCGAAGGACCAGAGCTGAAGCTAACTCCTAGCTCAGACTTAGAAGATTGAGACACAGCCATAGGCTCAGCTCCCATCAACCCCAATAGCTGGGACTTAAAGTGGTTAGAACAGCCGCTCGGCAGCACGTTGACTTACGTGTAAATGACTCTCTGGACTCTTTTCGACTGTTATTACCTGAATAACCTGATTGGCCATGATGCAAGAAAGGGGAGGGAGATAATTGCCTGGAAAACTTTTAGGCGTTTGAGGGGGAAGACAAGTCAATGTGCCCATGGGACACATTTGTTTCACGGTTTCTTTAGCCTCCAGTGTCCCATCGCGCTCTCACACAGAATTAACCAGGACTTTCTTTAGATCTTTATCCTTGTCCCTGTCAAAATTTACTCGTGAAAATTTTCCCCTAGTACTGCTACTTTGAGGAGGTAACTGCCAAGCTTGCTGACATCGCATTTACTGAGTCTAACTCTTGGGGGTCAGGGATGAGCACAAATACCTTTACAATAATATTTTACAGGTATCTCAGGCTGAGTTTATTTTCTAGGAGCCTGACTTTCTGCCTCCTTGCTACTTCAAGATATTGCCTTATGAAAGGGTTAGCCTAAGCCAAAAGAGAAATCAGTGATGTAACTGCCTTACTCTGTCCAAATCCTTGGAACCCCTGAAGAACATTAGCAAGAGGGAAGGACCACTAAACCCACTGCTGTGGGTCTTGTACAGCTAACTGGCAAAACAAGTATGTGCTTGTGTGTATTGTAACCAAGTATTAAAAGCAAAATCTGTAAAGCTCACAAGTTGACAAAGATCAAGAAGTCACCTCTTAGAAAACCAACTGGCAATAGCTACCAGGGGCATGAGGCTTCCCCTTTCCCTTCAGCCATGCACTGCAGATGTAATGAAAACTGGAGTTTTCACGTTTCCCAGACCTGGAAAAATGAGGTAAGAGTCACTAGCCACAACAGTATGAAATATGGCATTGGTTCCTTCAACTCTTTGCTAGTCTGGGATTTTACCTCTACAGGGATAGGAACCAGTATCACACTAGTAAATGGTGCCACCTGGTGTCCTTACTTGTGTGCTGCAACCTCAGTAATTTCATCCTGAGTTGTCCCTCATTCTCTCCAGTTTTGTCCACTAGTGGTTTCTCACTCATGGCCAGGTAGATGGGTTTACAAAGTTGTCATTGGTCACTTCCTGTCAACGCTACAGTGGTATATCCCCTTCAAAAAGTTCCCCAAATTAATCTCACCTGAAGCAAAAGTTGCAAAGGCAAATTCAAGCTCTTGCTTCCATTGTCTATGATGATCTTGGGGAAAAGCAACCGAAAAGTGTAATGAGTCTGGATACTTTCAGTCTAGGGATAAAACTACATTTATTTTTAATTCTTCACAATTTAGTTCAGCCTTTATTGTCTAGGTATCAAGCAGCCTCTTAAGTGCCAATATGGGAATAGGCTGTAGGCTGTTCCAAGTTTCATGAATTCCTCAGAAGTCTCAGATCCAGTGTGAATAAAAGCCTTATTCCCTTTTCTCTAAATACTTGCCATTCCACCCTTCAAAATGCAGGTGACCTTTATGTTAAGTAATTTCACCCGCCATATACTATTTCACTTTTTAGTCTGCTTATGTATGTCCTAAACATGTATACATAGTTGTCACTCTAAAATACTGTCTAGGAAAAGATATATACACTTGTCTGTTTTGCACCTATGCTCATTAGACCAGATTTTAAAATTCACCCTAACATGCCAATAGGTGCAATCGAAAGATACTGGAAAACTAACAGGCTAGAGTAAACAGTTGCTCATCAATTCAAATATTTATTGAGCACCTTTACATGCAAGGCACTGTAGGACAGCTGAGACCAATGCTTGCAGTTGGAAACAGGATGAATCTCAAAACAATGCTTCCAAGACTGCTTTTCTATTTAACAAAATCTCTTCTAATCACAGAGTTTACAATAGAGAATTTAGTAGAGCTTATTAGATATGTCTCAAAATTCCCAACTCATTCCATGTTTTAGTCATCTCACAATCCACACACACCTCCATCACTATTATTCAACACTTACATATTGTAGAGAAGTTCAACTTGAATCATACCTCAGTTCAAAAGTTGTATCAAATTTCAAATTTCAAAAATTCGTTTTTGATTAATCTTTATTCCTCCAAATGGCAGTCTGTATACCTCGGCTTTAATTTTCTCTTTATCCATTCATGTTCATGTAAAATTTCATTAGAGATAATACATGAAGTATTGATGCCCTTACAAGCACTTTCTCCAAAATCAACAATTTTGTGCAAGAAATGTATTGATTCTTGGTTATCAATCATTCTCTATAAAAGCACCTGAAAATGTGCCTCTTCTGTGCAGTTTTTAAAATCTTCTAGGAGTGAACAAGGGTTATCACCATTTTTTATTGTCTTCAATTTACCTCTCAATTTATCCAATCCCATTCCATCTGAATATCTCAACCAATATAACTAGGAAAACAAAAACCAAAACCTGTACTACTAAACCCTGCCCCAAATAATGTGTGAATTATGTCTTCCTTCTGTGTTCAAAATATTTTCAAACTTGTTTATTGATAGGCCTACTTTCAGGCATTTCATCCATAATTCTGTGTGGGAAACCTGTATTTACCATAACATTACACAAAGTAATTTGTATGAAGTTTATATAACTGGACTTGATCTGTAACCATAGAGTAGTTCAATCTAAAGACTCCTTTAATAAATTCTTTTTGTAAACCATGATACTAATTAACATCTATCTTGCTTTAAGAACACCTTATTGTCCTTACCTGCTAAGACTGTTTATGTCTTGGTATTTTCCAGGGTAACAGGTATATTAACTTGCACAAATTGGTACTACGAAGCTAGCCTTTCTTCCTTATAGAACAATTTGAGACACACACTTGCCGTCAAGTTGTACAGAATTCTGAAGTCTCCATGTAAAACATGCTTCAAGGAAAAGAACACCAAAAACTTCCCCCAAATGGCATGTCAGAAACTTTGAAAACAGTTAAGGAATTCTTATGATAAAACTATTTCAGTGGCACCTCTCTCAAATATGTCTCCAGACATCAGGATTCTGTACTCCAACTCAGTATAAACCTCCCAACACCAAGTCCTGCTTTAATTTTATTATAACTGATTTATTTATTCCAAGTTTATACATTCTGCTTTCCATTCACCAAATTTCTTTTGTTCTTAAGTTTCTAAAAAAATAGTCAATTTTCAAAAGCAGAAAAGAAAAGATATATATTTAATATATAAAAGAAAAGGCTAAATCTGACATAATTATATTCTTAAAAACATTCCATTTATTTACAGATGTATAAAAAGGCGAATTATTGGTCTATTGAGATCATGCTGCTTATAGAGTTAGGGTGAGAGCTCACGCTTCTTCTGATTCCTTAACTCCTCTCACTCAACTGCATCTTTTATATTCACATGTAATTTTCATAGACCAGTTTCTCCTGGGGTAAGGTTAAAAGGTAGGAGTTATTGGAGATTTTAGATTTCTATCAAACTGCACGATTGTTCTGAAGACTGAGCCCTCCTCAATAACGCCCTGATAACTTCCTAGTTCTAAGAGGTCTTGAAAACATCATTATCCTGGGGGTTTGTAATGACATCTGCAGCATTCCTTGAACACTGGAAATCATCTCTCATTTCCTTTGTATATCTCTCATAAACAGAATCACATTATCTTCCCATCCAGACTGATTATTACCTGTTTGTCTATAAAAAAAGGAACAGTGTTCAGAGCAGAATGGTCCTTCTTTTCCTGAGGATTATTCGCTCACTTGCCTGTTTCTTGGCTGACCCTCAAAAGCCTAACACGAGCCTTGGTAAGTCAAGAGGAAATGTGAGGACAAGACAAGCAAGGAAATAATGGAAAACTGCTATACCTGGATTAAAGTACTAGCTTCTCCAAGAACAATTACTAGCAAGGAAGACAGGTGCTGGACTCCTTGGCTAAGGCATTGAATGAAATATGCTGAGTAAAGAGGAATGGGAAGGATAATGAGAAAGTGAGGAGCATTCATCACCCACTTCAAGCCTCTTCAGTAACCTTAAGAGGAGGGAAGGTTAAATGCTAGATGAGCAAGGTCTAGAAAGCCAAATAACACAAAATCAACAAAGAATTTGCTCCTACTGCAATTTGCAGAGGAAATTTTTCCACCCTTTTTCAATCTGTTGATTACCAGAGTTACTAGAGAGGGAACCAACCATTGAATTCACTGGATAGAACCATTCCAAAGCTGGTCTCACAACTTAGGTCTGAAGATATGCTGAGTGAGATTTGGGATAAAGGCGGCAGGGGATGTAGAAGAAATAGCATCACCTAGGCACAGCCCAGGCACTGGAAGCTCTTGTGTTAGTGTTTAACAACACAAGCAAATCCTGTCAATTGAAGACAGACGTGGGTTACATTCCAAAAAATTATTCAAGAAAGGCAAAATGCAGCAGCTAAATCCAGTCTATACATTTTCAGAATAGTGATTCTTGCCCCCAGGAGTTTCCAAGAGACTCCTCAAGTGCACCATGATTATTTACAAACTAGATAGGAAACATTTCTATACTCAATACAAATCTCATCTTCTAGGTTGAAAACTTCAGCCTTTGAGAAATCTATGAAAACTATACAAAAATATAAATTATCTTTATCTTTAC